AATTGGCCATCGTATCGTGATGGTTTTTCCTCATTAATTTCTATCGAAACACATATACATGATAAAAACGATTCCCGTGCAGCTCTCATTCATTTTTTTTTTGTTTGTTTGAATTAAATGTAAGCACCCTGTTAAGATAGGTTCAGTGTCTATCCAGGCTTTGAACTTTTACAGGTTTGTTTTAACAAAAGCCGTGTAAGCTACAATAGTGTTGTCCGCATAGGTGATCTATACGGTCAGAGGGGCAAAAATATGGGTGCATAATCGTCACATAGTAGGCTAAAACAGTGACAGTTGTTAGCTATATTTTTAATTATTGAAGTTAATGATACCGTTACAATAAAAAACGTGCGAAGCGTCATCAAAAACCACTAATCAGTAAATTTGAGAAAAATTTGGGGTGAGTGGTAAGCACGGTGATGCGCTAAATTTACTACTTGGGAACACGCGCCACTAAATTACAGTTAGCACGAAGAATAAAGGACAATTAGTGAAAAAAAAACTAAGTGCACAAGCGGGCTAGTAGTAGCCAGACTTGTACGTAGTTCAACTACTCTACTCAAGTTACTGTAGTTTAACTACTCTTCTGAGTAGTTTAGTAACTTTCAACTCGGTAATTGGCAGTTTGCTTTAATTATTTTTGAGTAACTTTTACTAAAGTTACAAATTACTTTCAAATTTAGTGGTTGTTTTGCCTATCAGCAAACATTTCTACACAAAAGAGATAGGATGTTCGAAGATCAGCTGATATTTGCAAAAGGGGGAAGCATGTGGCGTAGGAAGGGGGGGGGATAGAAAATTATTTGGAAAGTTCGATAGCCTCCAAAATTTTTACAAGCCGCCCCCCCCCCCCACTGCGACAACAGCGGGGAGCGAACAGACACGACGCAAGAGAGACCAAGTAACAGCGGGATTTGCGCCGAACACTGATGTTTTCTGTGTCCGGAAGCTAAAGGAGACTCGACCCTTTTGAAGAAAGGGCTGATCCACGCTTCTTCCCAACGTATAAACTCTCGCCCACTTTAGAAGGTACACACACTGCATCCTCACTCAAAGGAGGCAACAAAATGCAGCACCTGCTCTGAAACTCATCTTGTGGTCCCGTGGTTTGTGCTGTGCTCGAAGAATCGCGTGCTAAAGGGGAACGCAAAGATTTGCTTCTTTCGTTGCCTTTCGTTTCAAAACTCAGCATATGCAGATCTTCAATGATTCATAGATCGTTCTAGAAGCCTGTAGTAATTCCCCCAACGTTTTTGTATAAACAATAATAAACAATCAGTGTGGAGAGGTACTCTATGTACATGGTACTTAGAATACCACTGTTTAGAAAAATTTTACTTTGCTTGATGTAAATTTTCGGAACATGTACTTGTATTTTTCGAGGAAAGTAAAACTCCCGACTTCAATGTAAATTCCGCGAATTCGAAAATAAAAAATGGCGGTATCCTCGTGTGAAAACGCACTCCTTCGAGACGTCATCTGGTCATTTCTCTGAGTGAAGTAATGGCGGCTGTAAGACCGATGGAAGTACGTGCCTTTAAGTTGATTGTGTCAAATAGCTCGTCAGCGAAAGTAAAGCAACTACCCTGCGGCGACTTGGCTATATATTATATTTCCTGCCATTTCCATAAAACACTGATGCACCTCCGATTACCCCTGAAGCAATGCATACCTGTTAAAAAAATTGTTCGGGGAATGAAAGGGCATCTTGAAAGGGCATCATGAAAGATTGTATGAGAAGTGCTTGTCCTTCACCTTGAAATATATTGTATTTATATATGTTACTTCAAGTACATTGCACTCGGTGTACTTCTTATACTTTACTTGAAGTACATAACCCCTCATTTACTTTGTCCTTTACTTCAAATACTTTTTATATGTACTTTACGCAACACTGTAAACAAGCAAACACTGTCTAAAAAATCAAGCTCAGACAGTGCTAAACCTCAAAGTAGAAATGACACATTCGCAGTACATCATTGACCAAACAAACAAGAATGTACAAAACAATTAGGCACGCGGAAGCGGAACCAGCTATTATTGCATTTCTGTGAAAAAAAAAACAAAAAAACAACAAGCCGATTCATATTTGGCTAACACAATTTCGCTAGCGGATCAAAGCCTCTGTACTTTCTCTTTACCATAAAAAAACATATAAAAGTAACTTTAAACGTGACTTCTAAAGTAATTCACTACATTTTTACGGTAATTAGTAATTTTCTCAATTACTTCCTACTTGAGTAAGTTCTACTCTACTCAAATTACGTTTGATGTCAATACTCACTATCTCAACTTAATTACTTTTTTGAGTAACTTGTACATGTCTGGTGGTAGCTAATCATGTCATTCAACGCCTGAAACTGTAGTGCAGAAAAGGAAAATAAACAAATAAACTTTTAGTTGAAGGAACGGACATAGAGTTGTTCGCTTCTGTGTCTGTTCCTTTGAATAAAGATTTTTTTTTTCATTTTCTGCACGACAGTTTTAAGTACTAAACGACATGATAAAGGACACCTTGTAGAATGGACAGTACAAGAACTTATTAGGACAGGCGCAAGGCTAGTGTTGCGAAAACACTCGCACGCTTTTTCCGTCTGTTATCATCCGCGTTTTCGCGCCGCTAGCATTGTTGCAGGAGTTAGCACACCGACGTGCTCCCCACGCGCCCCAATTCTTTCTCACGTTTGCCGATATAGTGGTATTATATGACGATCATCAAGTTTGCATTTAAGGCCATATGTTTGTTTTTACTGTTTAAATAGTTAATTACCATATTTTAGTTATTTATCCGACTCATCGTGGTGGCTTCAGGAGGTTTTCAAGTGGTGTTAGCACGTTCATGGTTGTCTAAAATGTTCTCCAGTTTACATTCATCAACCGTAAATAGCTTAACTTGTGAGCTAAAGTTATGCAGTTGTCATTGTTGATCAGCATAAAAATCGGCGAAACTGGCCGATCGAAACAAAGATCACTCGCAGCTGTATTAAATAAATATTCTTATTCTTCACATAATTGTTTTCAGAAAAAGAAATGCTCGCGATGCCATTGAGGTACTACGGTGGCATACATTAAAACATGGTTTGAATCGATTTTTAGTGAATGCACGAATTCAATTTCCAAGTCTGCCAAGCGAAATGGGCCCAGTGAACTATGCGCAAGAATTCAGGCAAAACAATGGGGTGTACAGAATATCAAACTTCAACATTGTGCCTGGAGGTTTCAAGCGAGTTGGTTGTTCATGTTTGGTGGAACCAGTTGAACTTACGAAAAAATTCTAGATATTAAAACAATAAAAATACAATCTCTATAAATTTTTGGTGATTTCAGCTGGTTCCACTAAACCTGCAAGCGAGGTCAGGTGAGGCACATACATATACTTTAATATATGTTTCAAAAAATGTGAATTTGGTCACTGAAGCTCTGAACTGCCACCAAATATTCCACAAACTATCCGAACGATGGAGGTGTACGTGGGCAGGTACAGCAAGACAAAACACATGGCCCCTCTTTGTGACAATATGATTATGCGGTGGACATTTTTCTGTGCATGGAAGCGACCTTAGTGAAACAGGAGATACCCCTTTTAAGTGATTATTCGTGTAATGTTCTGTTTTTAAACTAGACAACTAATAAAACCGCTCACTTTATAGGGGAAAAACTCTAAATTGGAGACACTACGGCCCACTTCTAAAATTTGAGAGACAATGAAGCCGAGCAGAAATTTTGTTTTTTAATAACTGTCAGGCATATTTGTACGATGGGGAGCACACCTTTCATTAAAATATGCCAACTAAAATTATTCCAGAATTTATTTACTAACAATTTAGGTAATTGCCACTTCACAGACGTATCCTAAGCTGCATCGCAGTCGATAGAGTTATTCTACAAGAACGATTTCTTAATTTGTAGTGCTTTTATTTTCTCTTAGAAAACAATGAACCTGCCTACACAATGATAATTTATTTCCTTTGGGAAACATTTTATCAAGGGGTGTGAGTAGTACAGATCAACCAAACATTAAGGTATTGTAGTATTTTCTCGGGATTATAAGCAGAGAGGCATAAAGTATCCGTTATTTTATTAAGAATAGCAAAGCACAACAGCATCATTATGCCATTAAGCGATTGCGATGCCACCTGGCCCTACCAATATATCACGCAATAAATGGCGACATTAATGTTCGGAGGGCATAGGGATGTAACTTTTGTTTTAATTCGCGAAATTAGTAGTTTTTTTGTGAATAGGGCATGAATCATGGTTTCATTTCATCGATTATTATAATGGTGGAAAGCTTGACGTTGTTCCTAATTGTCCAAACATAACCCCAGTAACAACAATGGGAACACTGAGTCTTCTCGCCAGTGCAGTTTTGCGTTACAGCCAGTGGGAAGGTGTAAATGATGGCTGGGAGAGTAAAGGAGTCATTTTTAACCACCGCATTCCGAAGGTACCAACCTGATGGCAGCATCTTAGATACGAGTTATGGGGAAAAACTCTTTTTCCAGCATTAAGGAAAAAAGAATCGTCCTCGGCAGTGAGACCTTTCAAGCACGCGCCACTCACTGCGTGTCCTCAAAAACAAGCAAACACAATAGGCAACCGGAATGCAACATGCTCCCCAAGAATTTCGGTCGTTCGTTTTTTGGGTACCTTAGGTGAATCCTGTAAACGCAATCGAAAGCAAGGACTCGCCTCTTGTTTTGGGAGCGTACCATAGAGGACGCCGCAAGCCCAACTCTCGGGCGGCTCTGTTTTTTGCTTCGGAGGACGCTGTTAAAAGTCCCAGGAAGGTTGTTCTAATTTTTTGCAAGAACGTTGTTACGTGTTAAAATTTCACAAGGATAGTTAATCTACCACTGGAATATATGTTTGATGAAACTTCGCACTCGTTGTACGCAGGCGCTGATTTCTGCACCAGAATTTACAGCGAGTTTCACGATTTCTGGCACGTTACGTATTAGGTCAATGTGCTCATTCCCTTTCCTTGCCTTGCATGATAGCTGCTTCAACAGTGCTGCCTTTGTGCTTTATGAGCTTTACCCGGCCAAAGCGCCTCGGAAATTCGACAACAAAAAATGGTTTCCATTTCCAATAACCAGAGTCGTCGAGGGTCACGATAAGTACACGTAAGCAATGGAGTTTCATTTTTGTTTGCCGATGGCACTAACTTTTATCTAAACCTTGGTAACATACTTCAAGCGTTATAAATACTTAATGAAATAGATCACGCTGATTTTATAAAAATAAATGGAAAGCAACAAAAAGAATAAAGACAGGACAAGGCATCATCGCAAGGCATCATCGCAACCGGCGTGGCAGAATTTACGGTGTTTATTCTTGCTCTATCTGTGTTCCTTTTGTTGCTTTCAGTTTCTTACTGAATTGAACAGCACTACGTCGGATATTCTATAATTGAATTTCATATAGAGTTATGAAAACACATAAAGGAATGCGCAAATTGATTTCGCCAAATTATGCCTCTGTCAGCCGAATTATTTACCTTTCATTGCCATGACAGTAGCTGTGATCAACGTAATAGAACGCCGTATAATCGAGTATAGCTGTAATTTGATGCCATATGTTCGACTATTTGTAAAATTGAGTTAAAGAGGGTAATCCTAAAATTACGAAATTGGTTACATTAATATTTGAAACATTATTACAGGCAAGTTCAGTTTAGCACGCCATTACTTTTCATCCGTTCAAGTTTGTTTTTGTTTTTACAAAATTTAATATTTGGCAAAAGAAAACTGACGCGGCATGGCCGGAAAGAGGCGAACAAAATATAAATTTATTTAGCCAAAAGAAACATGATAACATCAGAACCAGGTCGCCGCCGCTCATGGGTTCGCGCCTTCGTGCCAACAATTGCGACTACTTCAATCGGGAGGAACGCTGCTTATGGCTGTGCAGTACCGCCCCTAATTTCCTCGGAGACACTGTATGAATTATTAAGAAAATTAGACCTGAGACAATCTGTTGTGTACATTTAGGTATGCGGTCATGTTGTTTTTAAGTCATTTGGTATGCGGACGTTTTGGTAAGCTTTTATTTTGTCACCTGGTTTTACGGGCGCGTATATTATTCTTTGAAATTCAATTATAACGCAAATACTTCTTCTAGGCTAGAAGTGTTCTTGATGGGTCTAGGACAGTTCGTCGAAAGCCCATTTGTTGACAGACAACTGGTAGATAGACAATTCGTTGGATCGGGCAATTCACCCCAGGCGAATTCGTCGAACGGGAAATATGTCGAAGCGGCCGGCCTTTTCGAAAAAAAATGTTCGTCGAAAGAGCCACAACAAAGTTGGAGTGATATGCTTTTGAGCCTAGAAGGAAATCTCTTCACGATTCGCCGACTTTCCAATGCAAACATGATTATCGACATTGACAAGAGCGGCGATTTACAAACATAAACTGCTTCCACGGTGTAGCCTTGTTGTAAATTCGTGACTAAATCACGTCGCTAAGAGATTATGTAGGTCAAAAAGAATAATTTCAAGTGAGCGTTTTCTAGTTTTCGTACGAGTCTTGTCTTTACGAAGTTGTAAAAAAAAATAATTGCGAAAACAGGTTTTAGTACCTTCTTGCGATAGCCGTGCCTTGGAGGTTGTTCGCCAACGTAGACTTGCAGACTTTTTTGCTGGCAAATTCAGTACGCCCTGGTGGCTGTACCAACAGGAAGGTGGTGTTGGATGTGCGCCTGCACGCGTATACCAAGTGTACGTATAACCATCCAGGATCAGAAGATTAGCCCTTCCTCGGTATTTCCAAATTGCATGATCATAGAGTCGGGTGAACGTCTTCACGCAGAGCCCGACTTTTATCATTTTGACCGACCCAAATTTTCACGATTCATTACCGGACCCTTGTAAATCCTGAGAACTGAATTCGTCGTCCTTTGTTTTTTTTTGGCAAAAAGGGTCCCATTGTAAGGCCTCAACGTCCCCGGGAAACTCTAGACATCCTGTGCAAGTCTTTTTGACCGTTCGACCTATAGTTCGACGAAAAGGAACTTTCGCCCCATTCTCCGTTCTGCAAATTGGCCCTGAGCGAATTGCCCTATTCGACGAATTGTCCTTCTTCGAGTTGTCCGTCTACCAATGGGCTTTCGGCAAATCGGCCGGATTCAGTTCTGGATATGGTCTAAATTTCTGCCCTAAATTTCACATATGGCGTTCTTCGGTAGGCGCCGGATCAGGCATACCATTAGAGGTTCTCGTCATGTTTCGCAGTCTTTCTTTTCGGGGCAAACATTTTGTACACTTTGATTTAGGTGTACAGCCAAGCTCTGGCTTACATTTTAGGTTCTGTGTTGGGGAGCTTAATTTTTTAACTATTTTTTTACTTTCTGTGAGCTCTGCCAGGCGAACCACGTGCATCAACATGTCTCTTTTCAGCGAGAACCTCGCCATTGCCGCGCTATACGTTTACACAAACGTTTGCGCTTCTAAACTTGTTATTCACCTATGAATATGCAAAAGTGCTGCACGGTGCCAGACATTAATCCGGCAGGGCGTACTCTGCTCGCGTAACTACTTCCAACAGCCGACGTCTGTGAACCCGGGCGCGAAGTGCAGTAGCAAATTTCAACACCCAGGAATTCATCTCACGAGACAAGGCTATGCTACTGCCGCACCTCGGACCCCTAGATATTGGTGCAGGCTTGTGGAAGAGCTGTAAAACCGGATAAAATGAGTTGATTTTCTTTACGACGCGTATACATTACTGAATCTAATTCAGTTCCACCCTTTTTTTTTGTAAAAACTTTTCTGTAAAAAAAAAAGTAAAACTTAAAACTTAATCGATTCAGTAAAACCGGACAAAAGCTGACCCGGTTTTCCACAGACCCGGACAAAAGCTCACCTCATTTTTTTTTTTGCTACCCCGGCGAAGCACGGGATGGGATAAAGGGAGGACGGGATGAACATTGCACCATTTGTAGGAGAACTGGCATCCCATCTCATAAAAAGTGTCGGCAGATTTATTTATTTATTCATAAAAATACCTTAAAGGTCCTTCTGGGAAGGACATTACATAAGGGGGGGGGGATAAGTACATCACATATATCACACAAAAATAATAAATAAAAAACATGCAAAGCAGTGCAAATATATAAAACATCGTAAATCAAGCAACAAAAATAATATCTTCCACAGTATTGCCAACATAAAAGAAATCGTGTCATACAATGCCTAAATGGCTGCTGATAAGCCAACGAAAGCTATCAGGGTTAATCTCGGTGACGATGCGCTCTGTTAGATCACTCCATCACACTGCTGTTTTGGGAAAGAAGGAATACAAAAAAGAAGTGCGGCAGGTGAAACGGTCAATCTTACATGAGTGACTAAGATGAGGTGTAACGAAATGCGACTGATTTAGGGTGCGTTGGTTAAGAGATGGTGCATAGTAAAAGGCATAAGCAAGAAAGCTTGCGTCTTAAGGCCAGTTCTGGAAGGTCGGCTTTCTGTTTTAATAAGGTGAGGCTGGAATGTCGAGAATATTCAGAAGAAATAAAGCGCGCGATATGGTTTTGAAAGGCTTCTATTTCAGTGATCAAATATGCTTGGTGAGGATCCCAGATGCTCGATGCGTACTCACGTTTCGGCCGAATCAATGAAAGGTATGCAGTTTTCTTTAAGTGAGGAGGAGCACAACGAAGTGTATGCCATAAAAGACAGAAAAGCAACATTTTGGGACCAAAATTTAGGTCACTAAAACTGAGTGGAGCTGATAAGATAAAGCTTGCTTGACTCAAGGTATGCCAGAGCACCCCTATGCCACGCCCAAGAAACTTCGCGAACCAAAGTTTTTGAACTCAAAGAGCGACCGAGGCAGCGAGGTCACCCTTCGGTGACCTTCTTGGGGTTCAAGGGTTCAGAGGTTTAGGGTAATATTTGAAGTGAATAGCTGGGGAAATTAAATTCTTTCCGTCTTTGAGTGTCGTAAATGTATTTGGAATCAACGATTATCTCAGGGTGTTGTGAAAGGGAAACTGAAGCAAAACTGTAATATACAAACCATTGAGTTGCGATTTTTTGCAAAAAATATTTTGAAGGAACGGGAGTTGGGCCTTTTGGACAAGTACAAGACAGATGACCAATTTAGAAAGCTGTGCAGGATTTTGGATAGGCTGTCGTTCCTTCCACCACATATTGTGCACGAAGGACTAACCTATATCAGGGAAACGTCAACCGGTGACATCGGCGACCTGCTGGACTACCTTCATTGCCCGTATGTCAACGGCCCCTTCCGTTAAGTTTCTGCCCCTTCAGCGGCGGCACCGAGAGCGAACACTTCCCTCTGCCTGACTGTGCGCCGACGACAGCCGGAGTTTCCCCCGGAACGGTAGAATATGTACGACGCCACTCTTCAAGATAAAGACCGGAGGAACAACACCTGCAAAGGATGGAATGCCGGGTTCCAGAAGCTTGTCGGCCACACCTATCCAAGCATCTAGAGGCTGACTGAATGCCTACAGGAAAATCAGGCGCTCGTTGCCACGCCATTGACTCACGGCCGGAGAGGTGAACCCCTCAGAGAAGCGGGTGGAAGAAACCACTCTGCGCCTGCAGAATCGCCTGAAAAATATATTCCAGGGGTTCCAGGTACACCCAGATCTACAAAGACTTCTGGAGCTAGTAAGGAACTGCATTCGCTTCCATCCAATCGATAAATAAACTTGTTTCTAGTCTAATTAAGAACTATGCGCCTGCAAGATTTAATTTATCGTTGCCTTTTCGTGTCGCACGCATGCACCTAAGTTGTCCACACTCGTGTTAAGACAAACATGAACATTTCTCCCGGTGAGTTTTTGTCCGGATCTGTGAAAAAATGGGTGAGCTTTTGTCCGGGATTCGGATATATCATCAGTGCGTGTTCAGGGACACAGATGAGGGGAGCACAGACAGCAGAAGGCTATTTAAGGACATCCGCGTACACATCGGAAAGGGGGCCTCGGTTCGCATTGCGGGCAGATGCGTCACTACCAATGCGCCACGACTCTAAAAACTTTCGTGGGTCCCACCTTTGTTCTCGCACCATGGTTACCGCGCTCTGAAAATGAAAGTTGTGACCTGTTTTCTAGCAGTAACCCTTTATACTCGTTTTCATCTCAATCAAAAAGG